GTAGAGCCGGTTTCGACTCAGAGCAACCCCCCCCCTTGGGTTTCCAAGGTGATATCTCTACAGAAGTGATTGCCCAGTCTTCCTTCTGAGGAGTGGCTAGTGGGTTTTGACCACCAGCCTTCTAGTTAGCAGCCAAATAAATGCCTTAGGCACTACTCCATCAGAGCTCCCCTTTTGAACTATGAGAGAGATTAAAGGTAAGTTAGCAAGCAGAGATGAGAGGAGAGAGATGCCAAGCACATGAAGATTGCCCAGGAGCAGAAGCTCAGAGGAGACAAGGATATTTCTCCAGAGGCGATAGGGAGAGAAAGCCTTTCCCTACAGCTGGCACCCTGAATTCAGACATCTAGCCTCCCAAACAGTGACAAAATAAATTTCTGTTTGTTAAAGCCATTTATCTGTGGCATTTCTGTTATAGCAGCACTAGATAACTACCAGAATTTGGTACTGCAAGAGTGGGTGGTGTTCTAACAGATAGCTAAAATGTGGACGAGGTTTTGGAATTCGTAAGTGGTAGAAGCTAGAAGAGTTTTTTTTTTAACTGTGCTCTTTTTTTGTTTTGTTTTAAATTTTATTGTGCTTTGGGTGCAAATTTACAGAGCAAAATTTGTTGTATACTAAAAGCATGTGTACACTTGATTACACAGCCTGATTACCATCGCTGACCCACACAAACTCTCCCGTCTCTCCCATCTCTGTGACTACCTCCTCCCTGTGCCCTTCCCAACTATGCACTCCTGTCTCTCCAGCTTTCCCTCTGTGTGAATGCTGTCCCTCTGGTGCCCCATGGCCAATTGCTCTAAGGGGTGTATCTCCTTAGAGTAGATGGGTGCATCACCTTGGGATAGGTGTTCTGCATGTCGGTCTTTCTACTGTTGAGCTGAGAGCCAATCCATAGGAGTGAGTCCAATTCTAGGCCCAAACGGCAACTTGAGGCCATAGTCTTGGGGGTTCCCCAAGTGACCCTATAGGACAGACTCTATCCCACTAGCAATTCTGGTCATTTTTGTTAGAAGCTAGAAGAGTTTTTAAAGTACCTACTAATAAAAGCCTAGGAACTCTGGTGCTCTAGTGCCTAAGGCATTTGACTGCTAACCAGAAGGCTGGTGGTTCAAACCCACCAGCCACTCCTTGGGAGGAAAATTGGACAATCTACTTCCATTGTGATACTGCCTCTGAAACCTAAGGAGGGCTCGCTATGTGCTGGATCCAATTGGACAGCAGTGAGTTATTACTAAAAGCTAGATTGCCTTGAAGAGACTATTGGTAAAATTATAAGCATCAGAAACAATTCTGGTGAAGGCTCCAGAAGGAAGTGAGGAAAGCTATAGACAAAGTCTCTATCATCTTAAAGAATATGACATCAGCAACAGAATATTGCTAGAAATGTGGATGTTAAATGTGCCCCTGGTTAGGCCTTAAAAGAAAATGATGACATGTGATTGAACAATGGAAGAAGGGCAATGCTTTTATGTAGTGGCAAAAAAATTGTCTGAAATATATTTTAATGTTTGGTGGAAGGTAGAACTTTTAAGTGATGAATTTGGATATTTAGCTAAGGAGATTTGTAAGCAAGATCTTATAGAATACACATGGTTTCTCCTTGCTGCTTATAATGAAACGTGAGAGGAAAGAGATGAACTTAAAAATGACCTTTGCAAACTGAGAACAGAACTTGGAGATTTGGAAATTTTTGTTGTACAAACTAAGGACATGTATCTTAAAACGTTCACCAAGGATATGACTATACAATCTTTATTGTTAAAGATATTAAGCTGTGACTGATGGATCTAACCAACATTCCCAGCAGAAGACTCATTAGCTTAGACTGGAGATGAAAAACTCACTGCCATTTAGCCAATTCTGACTCACAGTGACCCTATAGGACAGAGGAGAACTGCCCCATAGGGTTTATAACGCTATATATAAATTTTAACAGAAGTAAACTGGCTTATCTTTCTCCCTCAAAGTGGCTGGTGGATTTGAATTGCAAACCTTTTGGTTAGTAGCCCAATGTTTTAACTACAGTGCCCCCAGAGCTCCTTGAAGAGGACAGAGAAAGAATAAAAATAAAGAATCTTGTTTGCCTCTTAGAATTCTACAGGAAGGAAACAGGCCAAAGGAGCTACAACTGCTGTTCTCCAAGAAAAGAAAAGGAGAAACTTTTCTTGGAGAAACTCAGAGACAAGCAGAACTGTAGGAAGGAGAACATGTGAAGCAGGACTTTCTCAGCTTCAAAGGGTGGGGTCACCATCTCCTGGATCTCAAAGGGTGGGGCCACAGCCAACTCAGTTCTGGAGTGTGGGGCTCCTGTCAAGGTATGCCAGGAGGACGGGACCACTGCCCAAAGTTGAGAGGGCAGAGCAGCCATGACCAAGGGGCAGAAGAATGGGGCCTCATGGGGCTGAAGGGGTGGGTTAACCATTCAGATGGACTAGGAGTGTTTAGCTACCTAAAGCTGAGGGAGCAGATCTACATCCCAGAGGGCCTGGAAGGTGGAATTGAAGCCCAGGGCTGGGGGGCCTCCACTAAGAATCCAGATGGTATTGTCAACATCCAGAGTCTGAAGGACAGGGGCATTGCCTGGATGGTTTCAGAGAAGAGAGGATTATTTTCAAGTCTTGAGAGCTGATACAATTTGTTCTTCTGGGTTTTAGATTTGTTTAATGCCTTTTATCCCTTCTATCTGTCCAAATTCTCCCATTTATAATGGAAATGTCTACCCTGTGCCTGTTCCACCACCGTACTTTGAAAAAAGAGAACTTGAAAATTTCTATATTTCACAGGTTCACAGATGAAGAGGAATTTTGCCCCAGGATGGACTATGCCTAAAGTCTCACTCATATTTGATTTAGGTAATTCAGAAGATGAAATTTTGGATGTGGAGTAAATTTAAGATTTTTAGGATAATGTGATGGAGTGACTGTGTTTTACATGTGGCAAAGATAAGAATTTTGGGCCAAAGAGTGGAATGTTATAGATTGAATTGTGTCCTTCAAAAAAAAAAAAAAAAAATGTGTTGTAAATCCTACCCCCTATGCCTGTGGTTATAATCTTATTTGGGAATGGGTTGTCTTTGTTATGGTAATGAGGCAGGATTAGTGTCTGGTGTATCTTTAGTCAATCTCTTTAGAGATCTATAAAAGAGATGAAACAAGCAAATGAATTAGCTGAGATGGGGAAGAGAGATGTCAAGCACATAAAGAAAGCTCAGCAGCAGAGCTTGGAAGAGAGAAGAACCTTCCTCCAGAACTGGCAGAGAGAAAGCCTTTCCACAGAGCCAGCCCCCTGTTCAGACTGCTAGCCACCTAAACTGTGAGAAATATATTTCTGTTTGTTAGAGCCATCCATTTGTGGTATATCTGTTATAGTAGCACTAGATAACTAAGACAGGAAGGGGGAAGCTGGACCTGCAAGGGGACCAACCAGCAGGGGAACTGCCAAAACCTCAAAGCCCAAGTGCGGTTTAAGCTTTTCCTTATCATCATCATCATCATCATCATTGTCATCATCATCATCATCATCATTTCTTTGGAGATTAAGTATTACGGCCTACTTTATACAGTTTGTAAAATGTCATCATAAAAATGTTATGCTCCAAGGTGTTAGCAGAGCTTTGAATGTGCATTTGTTTCAGCTCCGGAAGAGAAAAAGTGAAGTCCTAGCCAGATAACGGAATCATTACCCAAAGCTACAGATGTGATGGGTTAATCGATCTCAAATACTTTTAACTAATGCTAATGAAGAAAGGTAGATGGATGATAGGGGGAAGGAAGAAAGGGGCAGGGGCTTATTAAGGATATGTTGTTGTTGTTGTTGTTATGTGCCTTGACTCGGACCCCACTCATAGTTACCCCAGGCGTATCACTACGGATGTAGACTGTCCAACCTTCCTTCCGAGGAGTGGCTGGTGGGTTTGAACCGCCAGCCCTCTGGTTAGCAGTCAAATGCCTTAGGCACTATGATACCATGATAAAGTGAATGCCTTAAAGGCCAGTTGAATTATTCCATAACAATAATTTTCTTTTGACAGGAAATCATCCTGTATTTAAAAAAAAAAAAAAAAAAGCTGGATGTTGTTTAAAAGCGAGTTAATCCGAGCTCCCTCTTGCCTTCTGCACGTAACAGTGCAAGATACAGCAAAAGAAGGAGGCGCGGCCACATATTTCATCTGAACTTCCTCTGTGGTCCTTTTTACATTGAAGCCTTTCACTGCTCCAGGGCTGTGTTTGGAAAAGTTGAAAAACTTTTCCCCTGGTGGAGAAAAAGAAACCCTCATCAGACTCAATCCAACAAATAAATAAATTATTCCCTGGGCCCAACATCTCCATCTGCTTTCATACCAAACATTCATAGAAGCATCTTTCCTCAATTCCGTGGCTGGAATTTTACTCTCCCCTTGCGTTGCCTAGTGTCCGAACCACTGATTTCGAAAGTCAGCTTGGCTTTGGAGCCACTGTGGTAGGCTTTTGTAAGAATCGAAGCGCCTTAAGGTCCTGCGGTAGTAGATTCTTCCAGGAGCAAAATGTGTAAAATAAACAGTTGCTGAAAAGCATGAAGAATTAACGAAGTGAAAATCTCCGGTTATTTGTTTAGCAATTGACACACAAGTGACCTCCTTATATACTTAGTTCTTTAAGGACGTTCGGAGCTAGGATGAATGAATCTTGAGGGCGCTTGACTCAGACAGCGTGTAAATCTCTTTAGTCTTTCTGGAAGTGGAGGTAAATTACCACAAACCCGGCAGTGAGTGGGGAGAAGAAGGTAAAATCATGAATTCGGAGCTCTTCTCCCAGTCCTTTGGAAAGAGTCGCCTTTACAGCCGGAGACCCCGGAGGTTACAGCGGGAGAACCCGGCGGCGCTAGGACCTGGCTGACGCCTGGCTGCAGTCGCTTTCGGGAGGGCGGATGAGAGAGCAGAGAAGGGGGAGGGAGGTGGGAAAGGAGGGGTGTTGAGGGGGGCGGGAGGGAGTCATTTATGCAGAGCAGGCGCTGCTGCCATTGCCACTCACACTCCCCGCGCGCTGCTCGGACGGAGGGAGCGCGAGGGAGCAAACAAGCGCGCGCTCGGAACCGGGGCGAGCAGAGGGGACGCCCGGCCGCTGTCTGCACCACCCCCGCCGTCCGTCTCAGCAGCTCTCCGGAGCCTGGGGAGGAGCGAGGGCGAATCGCTGAGTCCTAGAGCCCAGCCGGGCAAGACCCATCTGCGGGAGGACGGCCGCTCCACTCAGCCGCCTCCTGCACTCGAGCCGAGAAGCGCACACCGACCGCCTCGCTGGCCGGGGAACTGGGAGCACAGGTCTCTGCAGCCCCAGGGATGGTCTAGGGGCCAGTGTGAGGCTTGCTGCTGTGATCCTAGCCGGGGCTCACTGCCTCCTGCGGATCGCCCAAGGCTTTGAACCGCAGCGGCCCGGGGCTGCGCGCCGCGCCGGCCCAGGCCAGAGAAGTTAGTTGTGCGCGCCGCTTAGTGCGCGGAGCGAGTACAGAGGGAACCAGCGAGGGAGGCAGCGAGGCGCCGGGACCATGGGTTGGGGGAGCCGCTGCTGCTGCTGCCCGGGACGGCTGGACCTGCTGTGCATGCTGGCGTTGCTCGGGGGCTGCCTGCTCCCTGTGTGCCGGACGCGCGTCTACACCAACCACTGGGCCGTCAAAATCTCCGGCGGCTTTCAGGAGGCCGACCGCATCGCCAGCAAGTACGGATTCATCAACATAGGACAGGTAACGACCGCTGGTCTGGCCTTCAGCCCAAGAAGTAGCTGGGGTGGGGGTGCTTGCGATCCCAAGCTTCTCGCCCCCTCCTTGTCGGCCCCCCTTTCCAGATGTGCTCTTGCAGCTGTTACCGTAACTCGCGGGCGATGCGCGCGCGCTCTGTCTCTATCATACACAAACACCCCCCCCACCCCAAAGTTGCCAAGGTTTGTGTTTTATACGTTTTCTTTTCTCAAGCCACGCGGGACAGGTAGCGTTTCTGGAAAAATCCAGTGTGTCTGCTCTTGTGGGTATTTCTAACTCGACCAGGGACCCTTTGGCCTGGAAAGACTCGGAGCACTAGTAGCCAGGAAAAGTCTCGGCTCGTGGCCGCGAGGAGAGGGGAAAAATAAGCTCACGGGGGTGAGTGTGCATGTCCAGAGAGTCAGCTCCCCTCCCCTGGAATCCGCTACTTGTGAAGGGATGGGTGCATAAGGAGGAGAGGACTGGAGAAGGTTTCTCCTTCCTGCTCCTACCTGAATTTTGCGGGGAAAGAAGTTTCCTATCCTTGGGCGCGAGAACCGCCGGGCACTGGAGGTGCAGGAGCTGGTGTGGAGGAGGAAGGCGGAGAGGGAGGCAGGAGGGGTCGGACCCGGCGTCAAAGCTGACCTGGGCAGAGACCTCCCAGCTTTCTCTTGTGCCCAGTTCTAAATCCGCGTGGGAGTTCCCGGAAGGGGGTCGGAGCAAGAAGTGGGAAACTTCCGAGCCCAGCTGCCCGGGAAACGTCGAGCCCTGGGGTGGGACGAGCAGTGCCAGGAGGCGGCGCCGTAGGGCGAGTTGGACTGGCAGCTGGGCGCGGGATTTTTGTGCGGTGCTACTCGCAGATTCTCCAGAGAGCTGCCTTGTCGGGGAAAAATGTCTGTAAATTGATTTGATGTTATGGGAATACTTGGAAGCGGAACAAATTTGGAGGTACCTCGGGTTCCTAGGCTTCCTCCTTCTCCTCCCCCTGAGATTCCGCACCCCATAACCCAGCGATAAATGAAGTGGAGAGGACTGTGTAAGTGGGTCCCGGAAAGTGCCCCCATTCTTACCCCCCTCCCGCACCTCCCTTCCGGGCTGGCCGGAGCTAGCCTGACTCAGGCGAGACCCCGCTGCGGATGGCAGCGCGGTGATGGCGCGGTGCCCTCGCAGCAGGCGCTCTTCTGGGACTGCCCAAGGTGGGGAGAGCCGCGGGAAGGGCCGGATCCCGCACCCTGCGCGCTTTGCCAGGGTGCTGAGAGAGAAAGGAGCTGGCTGGTGCGGCTGGGGCAAGAGAGCACAGACATTTTCTGATTCTATTACGCTCCACTCCCAGGAACGCAAGCCTTGGAGCATAGATCCCAAAGAAGCGCGGGAACAACACCCCCCCCCCCCTTAAACCCTTACCCTGTAGCCTAGGAGACGCGACCGAGGGAGAAGAGGTAGAGCTGCTGTCCCTGCATCTGCCAAGGTGGTGGAGGAATTGGGGAGGCTTGGGGGGAATGGAATCACGAAGGCGTGCTCCTTGCCCGCAGAGAGGGAGAGCTTGCTCTAGAGGAGCGGGTCTTGTGCAGGAGCAAGACCAGGGCAAGGAGCACGAGTCAGTATTTTCTTTGCTCAAGAAGGAAGGGAAGCCAGACAAATATTATTTTCTGAATGCCTGTCGTCAGCAGAGTGGTTCTCTTTTAATGGCTTGTTAAGAGTCTACTACCTTCTTTTCTTTGGAAGAAGACACTGCAGCTGTTCTACTCTTTCTATCATGAGCTTAAAAAAAGCTGGGTGCTGCATTTGCCCCAGGAATGGAACTGGAAAGGCTGATAGTGGAAATAAGACTGCTACTCTTTCCCAAACACATTTCCCAGGTTCATCTGACATTGAGCATCTGTTAGGAGTCGGGCATGTTCAGAGGAATAAGTTCTTGAGCATACATTTTTTCATAATCCTCAAACCATCCTTGTTTGGTAGGTAATACTTCACATATAGCAACAACCAAGACTTTTGAGAAGCCAAGTGACCCACCTGCAGAGGGTCATCCAGCTAGATGGTAGCAAAGCCATGATTCACACCTAGGCTGGGTCCAGGCCCAGTACCCAGTGGATCCTACAATTTAGGAAATCCTTCCATCCTTTGGCGGAGGAGAGAGGAATAAAGTAAAATCCCCATGTCACTGAATTCTGGGTTAGTGGCTCATTTCCTTTGTAGATCAAAGGAGTATAACCCTATTTTAAGTCTCTGGGGTGGTAAATTTAGCTCACACATGCAATATCATTGCACTGTAAAGGCCAAATGTATTTCTCATTCATTGACTACTCTGACCTTTTAACACTTTAGACATCCTTTTGTTACTCTTTCTTTCCATCAATAAACCTGCTGTAGTTCAGTTGAGGGCAGAAACTCATTTGCAAGTGTTATGGCTCTGAAGCCTCTCTGTTCTTACTCTGTTGGTCTTGGGGTGCCATGTCTTGGGTCACAAATTAGAACTGAAGTGATCTAATATCCTGGTAGTATTTTTGATATCTTCAGAATTCAAGGTGAATTTTCACCACATGAAAGACAGAGCTTTGACTATCTTAGAATATCTACTCAGTGTTTTGTAAAGCACCTTAGTGCTTAAAAGTTGTCAGAGGTAAAATTTCTGGCCTTGAGATTTCTACAGAAATATATAAGCATGCCTCGTCTGTTCATGAGATATAGGAAGTGCAGAATCATGGAAGAAGCTAGCAAATCATGCAAGAACAAGGCAAAAGGACCTGCTTGACTTTCTAGGAAGGAACAATAAGAAGGGTTTCTTTGCCTTTGTTTATACAGATGGCATTATTATGCTTTGGTAGGTTTTCAGAAAATGTTTATGTTTTGTGAATGATTACACTTTGAAATCAAGAATGATACTAATCATAACAGTAAGTGTTGTTGTTGTTATTATGTGCCGGCGAGTCGGCCCCGACTCATAGCGACCCCGACTCATAGCGACCCCGACTCATAGCGACCCCTCCTTGGGTTTCCGAGGCAGTATCACTATGGAAGTAGGATTGCCCAACCTTCCTTTCAAGGAGTGGTTGGTGGGTTTGAACTGCCAGCCTTCTGGTTAGCAGTCAAGTGCTTTTAGCCACTATGCTACCAGAGCTCCAAAAAAAAAGAAACCCAAACTCACTGCGTTGAGTAGGATCTGACTCATGGCGACTGCTCCTTGGGTTTCCGAGGTGGTATCACTATGGAAGTAGCTTGCCTGATCTTCCTTCCAAAGAGTGCTTGTTTAGGTTTGAAACTCCAGCCTTCTGGTTGGCAGGCAAATGCCTTAGGCACTACGCTACCAGAGCTCCTCCCAACAATTAGTAGTAGTTGATGTCAATGTAAGGAGCTCTGGTGGCATAATGCCAAAGGCATTTGACTGCTAACCAGAAGGCTGACAGTTCAAACGCACCAGCCACTCCTTGGAAGGAAGATTGGGCAAGCTACTTCCATAGTGGTGCCGTCTCGGAAACCCAAGGAAGGGTCGCTGTGAGTCGGGACCGACTAGACGGCAATGAGTTTGCTTTTTTTTGTTTTGACGACAAGATACAATACGTTTTGCTTGATATTAGTGTCAGTTGTAGAGTGCCTTCCCTTTCCTTACCTATCGGCCCTGACTATAAGCACTCTTAGCGTCTAGTTTGACCAGCACCTGCTGGTTGGCCAAAGTAGATGTGCATACCTGTCGGCTTGTACTGGGATAGAAGTAGAGGCCTTGAACTCAATATATGTTCTGACGTACATGCTAACATCTGATTGTTAGAGAATAGACGTGACAAAAGGGGACAAACCCACTGCCATCAAGTCCATTCTGACTCGTAGTGACCCCACAGGATACAGTAGAACTGCCCCATAGGGTTTCCAAGGCTGTAAATCTTCATGGAAGCAGTCTGCCTTACCTTTCTCCTGAGGAGTGGCTGATAGGTTTAAACTGCCAACCTTTTGGTAAGGAGCTGAATATTTAACCACTCTGTCACCAGACTGCCTTCAAAAAGGCGTTAAGACCTGACATAATATTAATTGTGAACCTTTGCTTTGGACTATATCTTCTACAGACCAGAGGGGAGGGAGAATGTCTCCTGTGAGTAGTTTGTTTGCAGTGTACATGGCTGTATTTGTCTTTCTGTGAGTTACTAACCTTGATTTTAACTCCAAGGTAGCAAAAATCCCATCTCAAACTCTGTAATTTATCTTAAACGAGTCTCCAGAAAGATAGAGCCAGTTGCAAGTGATATTTGGGGAGTATTTAACCTAGAATCCCATTGCAAGCATTTGGACTTGGAAACTCTGCACATGCCACCTGCACGATCTGTGAAGTCACAGAACTTAAACGTAGCCTCTGTTCCTTCATCTGTAATATGATAAATCTTTAAATAACAGAGTGAGTTAACTATACATTACTCAGCATATAATTAGGTTTACAGTGAAAGGTTAGTTGTATCTGAATCTTAGGGGAAAGGCTGAAACAAGTGAGATTAAAACTTTATTTATATATGGGGAAAGGAAGATCAATTTTTAAACTGGAAGATGCAAAATATAAAGATAAGGAAAATAAACTTTGATGACTGAGTTAGTAGAGTTAAATCAGACAGAGCTTTGTAGACTGGGAAGATGGTTTTCCATTTCAACTCACAATTTAAAATAGTTTTGTGTTGGATTTTGAACTAATTATACCTAATTTCCCACGACAGTGTTCTCCTCCCATGTTGATCTTTGTTGTAGACCATTAAATATTATGAGATAAGCTTGCTGAAGATGGGAGAAAGAAACATATCTGAAGACTAGTTATTTTATAAAGTATCTTACCTTGTTAAATTAAATCAAATTTGAACTTATATTTTGTTTAATTCTGAATGGACTTTGTACTGGAAAACTTAGAAGATGCATTTTCCAAATCAATGGGAAGAGATTCTTCAGCAGGAAGAAACTTGGTATGCCCCAAGGGCCTCTCGTTCTACAGATAAATTTTGACCTGTAAGTAATGAAGGATGCTTGAAATG